CCAGGTGCGCGGACGCCAGCAGATGCGAGCACGGTGGTGAAACATCTCTTCCCTTGTTTCGCTTCTCGCCACTGTCCTTTTCCTCTCTCCTGTACTCGTTCCGTCTATGCCCGTCTCGATCCCCCTTTCGTGCCCTCTCTCTCTTTTCGCTCGTCCCAGCTGCTCTTTCTCCCCCTCGCCCCTGGAGCTGTGCTTGCCATGTGTGTGCTTGCCACGTGTGTGCTTGGCGCAGCAGTGGTGCGGCGCGACTCGTGCAGAGAGGCATGGCTAGTAGTGTGTGTGGGAAGGTGGAGGGGGCAGAGCGGAATGGAGAGCATCCGCTCTCGTGCACTCCCCTTCTCACGCGCATGCCCCATCCATCCGTCCATCGTGTGTGCGCTGCAGGTTGGGCGCAGCAGCAGCAGGCCCGAGGAGCAGTGAAGGGGGGCATGCTGGCGCCATGGGTGGTGCGCTGCCAGACGACGTGAGTGCCATGGCGTATGCGCACGACCTGCCACCCAAGGTGCATACATGTGCCTTGCTATATGCATGGCGGTGTGAAGCCATCCCTGGCAGCCCATCCGTGTGCCCTCTGTTCTGCCTGTTGCGTGCCCATGCCACCCCCTTTTGGCTCTTGCACGCCACGCCTCTCCATGCGACCTACCACTCTCCTTGCCTTTACTCACCTCTTTCTTTCACATGGCTGCATGGAATCACATGGCTGCATGGCATGGCATGGGCGCATGGCACATGGGTGCATGGCATCACATGGGTGCATGGCATCACATGGGTGCATGGCATCACATGGGTGCATGGCGTGGGTGCATGGCATCAGGTGCATCTGTGGCAGCACCACGAGTCTCTCTCCTCGCGCCATCTCTCCTCCTCCCTCGCCTCCCTGCACCGTTACTTCGACTACAGGTGAACAGTCATGGCCAGGCGGAGAGGGGGGGGTCATACAGGTGCCACGGATGGGTTGCTGGAGTAGAGAGGCCCATGAGAGGGCATTCGCAGGCACGTGCGAGTGTGGGGGGCAGTGGGAAGGGCCTGCTGCATGACAGGGCAAGGAAGTGTGGGGGAGAGTGTGGCGTTCGCACGTTGATACGTGTGATCGTGTGAGTGTGCTGTGCACGCGTGGCCCTCATGGTGAGGCGGCCACGAGGAGTGCAGCCACCACGAGGAGTGCAGCCGCCACAAGGAGTGCAGCCTCCATTCTGTTCTTCCATGTCTTGTGCGCTCTTCCCCGACTCTTGCGCACACCGTCACTCCACCCTCCCGCTTCCGCCCCCTGCCACCCCCTCCTCTCTCCAAGCAGTGCGGGCGTGACAGCGGTGGGTAGTCGCCCGGCGTCGGAGTGGTGGGCGGGGCGATTCCAGGCGGGGCTGCTGGTGGAGGGCGCCATGCACGCACGATACGGGCACACACAGCACGCCATGGGGGTATGAAGGCATTTGTTACTTGACGTATCAATCAAACTAATGATTCGCATGTGTCCTCACGATGCTTGTCTTTATCGCAGCTAGCTATGTAACTCTGTCCAACATCGAGATAATTCCCCATGTAAGTCCAATTGTAAGTCTCGCTGGTTATTTGATCGTCGGACTAATTTCACAACAATGTCTCGTATGACGTGCAGAAATTTGTAGCCTACCACGAGCTATTTCCTCCGGTAAGCTGGCTCTTGTAATTGCTATCGTATGGAATATAACTAATTTGATTACAATGTTTGAACCTAATGTGCAGGACTCAATATCCAGCGTCGCGCTACTTCGTTGTTGTAAGCATTGTCCTTATTGTTGGTGATTTCGACCTTGGATTAATTTCGAGATAACAAGTTCTGAACGTAACGTGCAGGAATTCCAATCCAGTTTCAAGAATTGCTGCTCCTGGTGTGCCGCCGCTCAGTTTCTCTTTGTGTTAGTGCGGGACCCACATAGGGGTGCTGGTAGGCAAGGGCGGTTGGGCCATAGTGGTTGTGTACTGTGGTGTAGATGTTTTTTTTAATATATCAAATAATTTGCTTGTTGCATTATAAGTAAATCCAAACGAGGCATGCCCTAATTGTACTGAACCATGCCCAAAAGGGTACTGCAGCCTGCAAAAACGGATCCATGAAAAATACCACCAAACGTTTGCAACAAATCATGCTGAATACTAAAAATGGTGAGCATAAACTTCTCTATGCATTTACATGTTTACTGCAAAAGTTGTAGAAAGAACACCGCCATGCATTTGTAAACGAACCACAGAGATTACCGAAAAGACACCTCTAAGCATTCGCTGTCGTGAACCAAAAAGTGTTTCGGGAAATGTTGCCCAAGCATTCGCCAAGTGTTCTGATCTTAGTCCGCCATGAATTTTCACCCACATGTTCGCAAAACGTTTGCAAAGCATTCGCTCGAATGCTACGCAATCGTTTTGCGAGCACACCTTTTTTGCGATGGTTAAGGAAAAAAAAAAAAACGTTTCTTAAGACTGAGGGGGGATGGGCGTATGCCAGCCTGCGCCAGCCTGCGCATTACTCGGAAAAGTTGGAGAAGAGAATCAGGCAGGAAATAAGTAAGCAGAATACTATGCCCTGATAGATAATGTTGGCATTTGAAGGTAGGAAGAAGTGCCACACGAAGAAACGTGAGTGAAAGTTTGAGGCTGGTGGCGTTTGTCAGTGGGTAGAGTGTAGAAGGTGAGTGAAAGCAGTTAAGGGATAGTGTGGCGTGTGCATGTGGGGTGGGACTGGACGGGGTAGAGTTAGCTAGGTGGTCGGCAGACTGCGCAGAACAAACGCTGCATACTCCGCACAAGATTCCGCGTCGCATTCGCTTGATGTCAAACAATCATCGCCGTACCTTTTTCCTAACCCTTCCAGACTAGGCATGTGCAGAGGGCCGGGCTCGGACCCTGGGACGGACTCGGGCAGGGGTTGGACGGGCCGGGCGGGCTTCTGCCACGGGCCACGCCACGGTCTGTGGGAAGAGGACAAACCCGGGGCAGGCTTGTGGATGGGCCAGCCAGGCCCATGATGGGCCGAGCCAGTGGACCGTCGACGGGTCTAACATATCCCCCCCCTCCCCCCCCTTCTCACCCCCAGAACCCCTCCTATCTGGTGTGTCGCCCGCCGACCCATGCGGATCGGACTAGATTGGACTAGATCGGGCCAGATCGGACTCGATCGGACTGGATTGGACTAGATCAGACTGGATCAGCATTAGACATGGTCACGAGCCGAGGTAAGTCGATCCCGGCTCAGCTCGCCTTCTTTAGCCGGCTCGGCCTGTGAGGATCATGCCGGCTCGTAAGGAGTCATGCACACCATCCGGACTAGCGAAATGGATTTACAGCAAAACTCTAGTCATTTAGGCCGAGAATTTGACCCCCAGGCCTACCTGTCGACTGGCCACTATTCGGTCCGTCCCCGGCCCGGGTACCAGCATCGTCGTCCTTGGTGAACTGGGCGGGACGGGCCCGGCCGGGTACTAGACCATGCCCGTCCATTAGCGGGCCGTGACAGCCCGCCCCTCCGAACATGCCTATTCCAGACACTTCATAGACGAGCATATGTAGGTGTAAACCCTAAACACCATCACGCCCAGCATCAGACTGCAACGCTGGCCATTTCAAGCTCCAGTAACAGGCAGCGAGCAAAGGTGCAAGGTGCGAACAGCTTTTGTCGAATGTGTCTTTTGTCTCAACTTGGGAAGGTAGAGCCAATCCAAGCTGGCTCAGGGAGCCGCGAGCCGCTCGGCAGCTCGTGCACGACACAAGGCTCTGGCAGGCGAAGCGCCAGATCGGCGTTGATCGGCGGGCGAAGCCTCACTTTTGCGCAGATTTGAGGGACGTAAACCCTAACGAGCCGAGTCCAGCTCGTGACCCCGACCGTTTCGCCTCGAACCTGCGCCCAGCTCGCTCCAGCGAGCCCCCAGGCGAGCAGCTGAGACTTCCAGATCGGCCAAGCCAGCTCGGCTCAGCTTGGCTCGGCCCTTCCATTTACGAACCGGACACTGCTCGACACGAGCTCGGACCTGGCTCAGCTCGGAACTTGCTCATACCTAGTGCAAGGAGATCCAAGTGCCACCTGCACAAATGTCCAGTGGATCATGGGCAAGGCCCCAGCTCAAGCAGCTCCACTTGAGCCGCCCTCAAGCCTTCACCGAGTGGGCCTGTGGAGGCAAGTCGAGTCTGATTCACTCGGGTCGAGTCGGGTCTGGCCGGCGACTCGACTTTGGCGGTCAAGGGGGGCGCTTGACTCAAGTCTTTTGACATGGAAGGGAACCTTTTGGTCCACTTGGTCAACACAAGATCTGCGCAGTTTGCCAATTGGCAACCGAAACGCTCCGCGTGCATTTCATGGAGCGAAACGCCTTCATTCGAGTCGAGATTTGCTCACGACTTGACCTACTTGACTCGCCTCGACTCGTCTGTTCATGCCTATGCGCCGACCAAGAGCCCGGCTCGAGGCTTACCCAAGGTGGGCGAGACGGGGGGTGGGGAGGGAGGGAGGGAAGAGAAGGAGGGAGGGGGGGGGGGGGGGGGCGAGGGGAGAGTGCGGGTAGGTTGACGAGCCGAGGGAGACTCGCCAGGGAAGGTGCTCATCGAGCTGGCCGCAGCCGGTTAGCTGGCATCTCTACAACTCGAGCCAGGCGAGCAGCTCACAGCTTGTCGAGCTGTTTCGGGACGGCTTGAATCAAGCCGGCAGTCGAACCCAACGGCTCAGCTAAAATGCCTCACACGAGCCGAGCTGGGCGAGCCGAGCCACTACTCAGCTCATTGCCATCTTTGATGCTGACCATGTTTAAAAGAACGGAAACAATGAAAAAGCTCTACCTTTTCTCTAGTTGTGGGCACGCATGCGTTCAATGAGCACACAGCTCATCAATGCATAGCACATCACGGATCCTTGCTCACGGGTATTTTGCTCGCCAAATCCATGAGCGCCCAGTTCCCCCAGCGGACAGGATGCGCATCCATTCGGATGCTGGGTCTGCTGTGGCTCTCATGTCAACTCAATGATGAACGACACTCACAAGATGCGAAGCTTCCAAAGCTTGCCAATGGAGGCAGGAAGCGAGCCACTCAAGCTGTTGTAGTTCAAAGATCTGATGAGAGAACAATAGAGGGCATGCATGTGCAGGAGTACCGTGTTGCACACATAAGAGGCCATAGAATAAGGTGAGGGACAGGACGAACACTGCTTGCTAGATTGACATTGCCATTCATTCATGTTTCGAGCATACGTCCCACGAGTTGGTACATTCACAACCTGAGTGACACCGCTTCAAAGGCCACTTCACTACATTCCGCACTCCCATCTGAGCGCTTGCCCGTCCGACAAGCTTCAACTTCAGCCGCTTGGTCGAGCCGAGCACGAGCTCGTCTCTCCCATGAGCTCGAATCGGGATTTTAGGGCATGCATTTTCAAGCATCCACTCACATCTCCGTTATCATGCCTTGGGCATCGCAGGTGACATTGCTTGCTTTTCTGCAGTCCCCACCAACCTTCCAGCCTTCAATCGTTGTGTTCCACGCCTTCTGACAGTCCAGCAGGACTTGCGCTGTCGACGGGGGGAGGCGGGACGCAAGGGCGGGGTTGGAACAGAGGGCAGAAAATTCAACCATCTTTCTCGTCAAACGGCCTGCCACCTGGGGTAACCAGAGCTCGCAGCGGCTGGGTTAGCCGTCAGATGTTACGTTCTCCACCCTCCTCAGCGCCCCAATATGTCTGACCACCTCATTCTGCGCAGCGCAAATGAGGTCCTGGGCTTTTTTAAATGAGTCTGGGTCAAATTTGAGGGTGAGACTTGTCTCGTTTAGCTAAACGGAACATTTCCGGGAGCCGAAATGAGTCTGATTGAAGAGCGGGTAGATTGTGAGGTACGGAGAAGGTACAATCTGGCCTATGGAGTACTATCTACGGGGAACAATGCCATCACAGGCTATTCTTTGGTCGGAAATGCGCCGAAAGGCACGCTTATCGAGCACATACCTTGGGAATTGGCGAGGGGGACGCAGTGGACTCGTGAGACCGCGAGGCACGTCAGCAGGAGCAGCGCGCCGATCTGAAAGGCTGCGCCGCGCTCCATCGCGCCGCGACGGTAGCGGCAAGGGGTTGCGATTGTCATCCGAGAGAGACGGGATCTACGGTATACACTTACTACGGGAAGCGCAAAGAACAATTCTACGCAAATGCAGTGCAACTTGGGTTTTTCTGGGTGGCTGTGAGATACACGATGAAGGCTCGAAGAGTAAGCCTGAGTCAAGAATGAGGAGCATGAAGTGTTCGCCAAGGCCAGAGAGATGAGACTCTCATCTCAGATTGGACAGAGCTAGTGCAAGGACTGTCCCGCTTAGGGCGTGCATCCTATCAGTTTGGCAGTGGTTGGTGTAGGAATTCACTATTTTGCAGTTCATTTGGGGTGCTTCGAGGTCAGGACTCTGTTCTGTAGGCATCTGTTTAATTAGATATCTTGTCAAATTAGAAGATCCCATAGCTGTTTCTGAGGTTGCCGATCTCGCGAAATTGCAGATTCAAGTCACGGAAGAGCCAGTGCCTGATTGTGGGGTTTTGCCTGGAGCATGACAAATGGCAGGAAAGAGATCTGGGTTTCTGGCTCATTGTTCAAGTGTGGTTTGGTTTGCCTTCTAGCATAAGAAACAAGGGTTAGCATTTGTCTAATATTAATCGATACGCAAGATTGTACGACCCCCTCCATGAACAGACCCTCCCAAAACATTCCGCACTTTACCTCCTATCGGAAAGAAGTACTCACACTGTAACGTGAAGAGAGTCCGCACCCCACAAGGGGAATTCGTACCTTGCGCATCATGTTCCTTCTCTTATGTCGGATGCCTTACATAAACATGTGCATTAGCAAGGCCTTTTGTTTCCGGGCTGACTCAAACTCTAGCCGAAAAATCCCATTCATATGTTTGAGCTCTGGGAAATCTTGGAAACTCCAGAGTGATCACACGTCAAGAAATATATCATGGAGATTCGCCGCTGCCTTCTGATCTGAATGCACGGGTTACTGTAGTAGGATGACTGAGGGAGAGCCGCGCGTCGTGAACAGTCAGGGTTACCATTTCACGCCGCACGTAATATCTTCGCAAAACGTTTCGTTCAGATACCGCCTAAGTGGAGCCAATGGTGAACACAACGAAGCGAAATACTGGATGCTGAGAGAGGATATTGTTTCAGCATCTGCCCACCTGCCCTCAATACCAGCAAGGGGTAGGTATCATAATGCTAGGGCGGGTATACAGCGTGTCAAGCATGCAGTATATACCATCCTGATACGTGGAAGCACATACTGTCCGGGTGTCAGGGGAGTTTGAAGCTGGCGGCATTATTTCCTGCTCCCTCAAACCGGTGAAAATCGCGTCTACGTGTCAGGTTAGAGTCGCCATGTTGACAGAACAAAAACCGCGAAACAAACCGATCCAATTAGAATGCCCCACGACCTAGGATTGCGACAAGAAAATCTCTCGCAAATCTCGCATAGCCTCGCTAGTGCCACCTGGCGACACTTTCGGAGGTCCTAGTGTCAACAGTCGCAAGGTGGCCGTTAGATCTACCTGTCCCGCGGGTCAGATCACAAACTCTGTACAATCCCTTAGACTCGCCGTCTATCCGCCCTAAGCTCAGCACGGAATGCAGGGCGGGAAAAAATCTTCGCCGAAGATTTTCCAGACGCGAGATTTACATCAGTTATTCTTCTGAAATCTGGGATACGAATACGGTGACGAGTATCTCGGGAAGTTGTTAACAGCAGGGTGTCTACCCTTTTGAGGTGACACTCGTTAACGGGCAGCATTGGCATCTGGCCAAGGCATACGAATAAGACATATAAATCAGTTTGTGACACTTGCAGAACTTGTCACTCACTAACTGACAAGGAAGCATGCGCCGCTTGTCCATCCCTCGATATGCCGCGCCTCGATGCCAAACATCAGATGGTCCCAGGGCTTCTTACACTACAATGGGGAGTTCGAGTCATTTATGCGTGTGCTCACGATTATAATGCCCTCTTTTAGGCCTTAAGAAGTCAAGCCAAAAATGCCTGGAAAGCTAAATATCAGTGTGTGTTTCAGGGTGTTGGAAATATCTCGAAGACTTAAGCGTTTCTGAAGTGTAACACCACACTTGAGGAAGATCGTAACGGGTACGCAAGTCAACGGAGGTTACACGAGGGGATGGACAAAGAACACGTAAGGACTCGAGAGTCGCAGCCGGAGGTTGCAACCGACCGTTACAACTGCAAGGATGGTAAGCGAAGCGACAATCGAGTCGCACAGCGACTCGATAACCGCTCCTTCAACTGTATTCTTCAAACTGCTTTACTTTTCTACTTTCTATATATTGCTAGATGCTTGTTCCTTTAATCAATCACTTGTTCTCACATACAAGTACAAGGGTTCAACTACTCAACTTCCGCTGCACTACTCAAGTCTCCTTTTACAACTGGGACTTAGTCTCTGAAAAGATCCTAAGGGCATTTCTCAGCCCAACATGGTATGAGAGCTGGTCAGAGACCAAACTCCCAGCAACTACGCTCTACCTACAGTTAGCACACCAACGACTTCATTGAATTACCAAGTCATGGACAACAAGGGCAAGAAGATTTCTACGGGCTCACCCATTGGCCAAGACACTCAACACGGCAACTCTGGATTGCACACTTCAGGACTGCAGACCGAGACCGGCGCTGCTCAAGAAACAATAGGAAGAGCACCATAAATGGTGACTCCATCACCCTCTTCAAGCGTGGACCCGAACCTTATGGAAAGGTTCTTCAGCTTCATGTCACACTTCGACCAGCAGCAGCAGACAAGGACACCTGCGCATTCAACACAGAGCAACAGAGGAAACATGGGACTAGCGACAATGAGTCTCGACAACTCATCGTTCGGGCGACACAATCAAGCGCCTATCTTTGCGCCTTATCAATTTTCACCGGGGACGTTCGAGTTCATGACGCCCCGTGTCCAACCAACAGCAGCTGCATCACAACAGACACCAAACGAGATACTGAGTATCCAGGCGCTGTTTTCACACGTGATCAAACTGCAGACATCCTCACCGTTCAACGGACACGACTTCTTTACCTGGAGCTTTGAGTTCGAGCTGCTGATGGAGGCTGCGCGCCTCTTGGGATACTTCAACGGGTCCCTCCCATTTCCAAGCAACGGCACTAGAAAGGAGCAAGAAATATTTACTTATCAGTCGCTGCTGGCGTACACAGTTCTCCTGCGGAACCTGTCACCACAAGAACAGCAAAGCATCAGAACGTATCGGAGTTATGGAAACTCCGCGGAACTCGCATGGCATCATCTCAAGTGTCTCTATCAAACAAACGACAGCGTGACACAAAGCAGACTCATGCAGCAGCTGACAACAATACAGATGAAGATCGGAGAAAAGGCGATGCAGTCTATGAGTCGCTGCCAGACGCTCCGCGACCGCCTGCTTCGGTGCGGAGGTACAATCACTGAAGAAAGCTTCGTGACGCTTGTCCTCGCTGGGCTCTGGCCAGAATGGAGAACCACCCGCTCAATTCTTCGTGCCCACGGAAGAATTTCGGAGATGCACCTCTGCGTCGAGCTTCATGCTGAACAACAGGAGATGGACCTGTTTGAAGAAAGACAACCGAGGAAGCAGCAACCGTTAGTTTTCTACACTCAACGAAGGAACAACAACAACTACGACCGACGCGGCAAGCAAGATAAACTAGACAACAGAGGAGTCACCATTGTACCGCCGTTCTGCCACAACTGTCAAACATCCGGACACTCCAAAGTCAACTACACACGCCCACGAGCTTATCGTCCAGTAGACCCACAAGTCGCCTCCACTCAAGAAAGCCCGCCGAGGCGTTCCTCCACATCTGCACAAGGCACACCAAACATCATCAATTGCATGGTACACATCGACAACTGTGCACCCGGCTCACCACCCACTTACGCTCCAGATGAAGAAGAACTGCCGCCGCCGCGCTCACAAGAGCTTCGGGTTAACCCGACATACACTGCAGTCGCCAACGCCGAACCCACCAGGGGAAACACCTGGTTCTTGGATAGCTGCTGCGGTCAACACATGTGTTCTTCCGGGCGCTTCGTGCAGCGAGAGCGACGCCTCAACCGCGATGTCATCATCACCGTCGCCAACAACGAAAACCTGAAAATAAACAGACAAGGCGTCGTTCAGCTTCAGTCAATGGAGACGAACGTCATACTACAACTCAACAAAGTTCTAATCGTCGACAACTTGGGATACAACTTACTCAGCGTTAGCCAGCTGATGGCAATAGGGATTCACCTGGAGTGCGACTCGGACTCCAACGAATTTCGCCTTTACCACGGGAAGGGAGGTCTTTTCATCGGTCGCGCTCTCCTGAAGTCGGGCGTCTTCGTGTTGGATTTCGTCCCCGACCGCGGAACTGCCGACAGCGGTTGCATCGTGTCGTTCGCCGCTTGGACGCACCCGCCGGATCTTGACCCCGACTTCACCCCAGATGGTTTCTGGTACTCCAACACCATACCTGCAGCAGAGAGAACACGAGGGTTAGCAGTTATTCGACAAGAAATACAAGTACCAGCAAGCGTTCCTTCCTCGATATCACCTGAAGTAACAGCAGCGGGACCCAGCCGAGTACCATCACCAGCAATCCGAGGACCACCAACAGAAGCAGATCAACTTATGCCAATCACACGAGAAGTCTGCCGAAGCCCCGCCACATTCGTCGCGTTCTTCTCCAACACCGACATGTACCAACGGTCGCCCGGCCATCGCGCTCCCGATGATATCTGGCACCAACGCCTCGGGCACCCTGCAAACAGCACAGTACTACAAACCATCCAAGCCGAAGTGTTAGAAAGAAACGCTCTACTTACAACGAGCGGCCAAGAACTTCGACGACCACGCGCACGGTGCTTCACGTGCCCCGAAGCCGATCTTCCCCACCAACCTTTTCCATCACATCACAACCCAAGTGCACCTGCATATGCACCGATGGAAAAAGTTTACAGCGACATCTTAAACATGCCTCGAGACGACACTGAAGCCGACTTCAACTATGTCATTACGTTCATCGATGCAGCAACAAGATATGTCTGGCACTACAACCTCAAAACACGCGATCAAGCTTTTGAAGCCTTCACGACGTGGCTCCCCATCGCTGAACGAGAATCAAAAACTAAGCTCAAGAGCTTCCAGTCAGACGGCGCACTGGAATACGAGTCATAACGATTCAGGAACTACTTTGCGGAAAGAGGAATCAAGCGCCTGGTGTCTCTGCCCTACGCTCACCAGCAGCAGGGGGTCGCAGAAAGAATGAACCGGACCTTGCAGACGACGATGCGGAAGCTGCTCCTGGGGATGAGACTGCCCAACACACTGTGGCCAGACGCGATGACCCATGCAGTCCACCTGCACAATTTGTTATCCTCACCCTCGCTTCCCAACAACAAATCACCGCACCTGCTGTGGACACGAAAAAGGGCCAGCACAAAATTA